GAGTTTGATAAATGCTCAGTGGCCAATGTCTTATCCACTTGAATGCAAGGACTATTAAAAAGCATATACTGTCAGGCAATTTTCAAAACTGAAGTATGCAAAGGGTTTATTTTCCCCTAGAAACCAATGTTAAACTTTAACAATGTTCAACATGGTCATTTATAATGGTCAATTTCATGGTGTTGTTTTTAATTATATAGAATGCCATCGCCTTAATTCAATCACTGGTTAATTTGATCCCCCATTCAGTCGGATCATAACCTCAGGAACCGAATCATTTATATTAAAAGAATAACACATCTCTCCAACCTTTATCAATTTCAATCACTTTATGCAGGTTTTATTAAATCAATGGCTAGAGAAAAATTGCCATTTAACACAGAGCCAAAATTCTGAATGAGATTGAAGAAAAAAGCATATCCCAAGGAAGGCACATGGTAATAAAAGATTACCATAACCAAGGCCAGGTCTACACTATAAATTTACATGGGCAAAACTAAATCACTGCAGGGGGTAAAAAATCCACATCCCTGACTGACACAGTTATACCAACCTAACCCCGAGCATAGGCAGCGCTTTGTCGATGGGAGAGCTTTTCTCATTGACATAGCTATCGCCCCTCATAGAGGCAGATTAACTACACTGACAGAAGAAGATCTCCCATTGGCACAGTAGTGTCTTCACTGAAGCACTAAAGCAACGCAGCTGGTCTGGTGCAGCTGCGCAGCGTTTTAAACGTAGACCTGCCCTAAGAGTTGTGTTATTCCAATTTAGTTACACTGATGCTATAATCACTGTCATGTGCTATGGAACCTGAGATAAGCACCAAATGATCATATATGTAACAAGATCAGCTACTTAATTCAAAGTGATAAAAACAGGCTAGACTGAAATAACAAAGCAGTGTATGTGTGTGTAAAATATATATTTAACAAATTAATGATATCATGGATATCATGGTTTGTCACTACAGCTGGGCAAATTATTTTCAATAAACAAATTTGTTTGGCAAACTTAGCTTTCTTTCCTGTCTGAGCATGATCAACCAACAGAGTGCATTTTCTAATAATAGGTCATTATTCAAAGTAATTGGACAAATACTTTATGCAAACAGATAGCCTAGGGATTGCTTACAAACTGTTCTCGCTGAGGCTTCGGGTATTCAACAGTCTCAATTCAATATTTCAGCTGTGTGACTGGACACCAAAGTCACATGGTATTGTTTCTTTTCCCCACCTGAGTGAATGGCTTGGCCTTTATAAAGCATCCCAGATTCTGCTCAAAATATATTTGTTTTTACTACAAAGCAAATTTTGTTCAGTCACAAAACATATCTCTTGTCCATGGGCTCAAATTTGCTTTCCACAAACAAAACTTGAGTAAAATGGGATGGGAACATGGTAACCCTAGTTCATGGGAGCCGGAAGGACTGCAAAAGTGGAGGAGGGGAGGAAGCAACCAAAAGGGGCCAAACCTGAGTGGCATTATGATCCCATGTGTCAGGTTGCAACACCACTCACTCAAATTTGGCCCAGCCCCCCTTCAATCATGACAGAGGGTCGACTGAGCCAAATTTCAGTGAGTTGCATTATGTCCTGGTACATGGAGTAGCAACACCACTCACTCACATTCACTCAAATTTGGCCTAGTCACCACTCTGTCATGCCAGCAGGGATGGGGCTACACTGTTATGCCACCCAGCTCCAATCAGGGCCCAGAGGAAGGGCTGGACCCCCTGTTGCACCCCTTCCAAGTTCAAGTTCTCAAAAGTGAGGGGGCATGGACCCTTTTGTTTAAAAAATGGGGAAATGGCCCTTTGCCCCCCCTCCCCTCCAGCACTCATGCCCTAGTTGTCAGTATGTTGTACACCAGAGCCACTTACAACATTGTGGCAACAATAGAGATAGAACTCAGATAGATAGTCCTGCTTCAAAAGCAGAGGCAGTTTGCCTGATTGCAATATAGGGCCTATGACACACAGTTGATCAGTTCTGATTCCATCTAGCAGAGGGAAGTGATACACATTTACATTAGCCAACTCATAATATATATAATTTCAAATTTGCTCAAAATAAAGGATGTAGGTTTAGCTATTTTAAAATTGTTATCATTTTGATCCTGAGCTTTTGTTCAAATTAACCAGTGACTGAATTAGTAGGATTGAATTGAAATGTAAGTGCAGTGTAATTCGCAGGAAGTGTATATATACAAAAGAAGGATACTCTGTGCCTCCTGAGATGCCAGGAAATGCAATGGATCCAATATGATCCCAAGACTATGAATAAGCTTGGCAGAATTCAATTTTTTTAATCACTTTGGCAGATAATATCATTTATTTTTAAACATTTTAAAATTTTCATCTATTTAAATTTCCATAGTTGTACCAGATTATGAGTTTTAAGCATTTTTTCAATGTTTATCTATTTCAATTTTCAGTTATGAGAAATTGTGTCTGTGGTGAGTGCTAGACAATAATTGTTTAATCACAGCAGATGTTGAGATTCAAAAAGTTTTACAATGATTAAAACACAAATTGTTAACATCACATGTCAAAATATATAAAATAAATAGCCTTAAATTCTAATAAGTTCTCAAGCAGCAGTTTTCTTTACTTTGCCGGTCTGTACATTTTGACTATCATCAATGGAAATGTTTTCATTGATTTGTGTGTGTACAGTGAAACTGATATTTACCAGAATTTACTAATAAAAATCTAATCCTTTCAAATCTAACTATGAACCATATTGGGTAACTGCTGAATATATACTTCCAGTAGAAGGCATCTCACTTCTGTATATCTCCCTCCTTTTGGATAGCTGTACTTTTGTTCATTTTCTCTCAGATATATTAGCTTGCATTTTTATATTGGAAATCTTAGGACATTATCTCCTACCCAACATTTCTAACCTCTCTAGTTCCCATTTTATTATATATCTATGTTACAGTGTTGTTAGCATACTGTGCGCCTCACATACATCTTGGAATTAACATACTATGGGCAGAGAAGCCCCACCAAAATCAAATGAGTTATGATTTAAATGTTGCTCTCTTAGCTGCACAGTAGTTCAGAATATGGACAATAAAAGGAGCAGGTTTCAGAGTAGCAGCCGTGTCAGTCTGTATCCGCAAAAAGAACGGGAGTACTTGTGGCACCTTAGAGACTAACACATTTATTTGAGCATAAGCTTTCATGGGCTACAGCCCACTTCTTTGGATGCATAGAATGGAACATATATTGAGGAGATATGCATCCGAAGAAGTGGGCTGTAGCCCACGAAAGCTTATGCTCAAATAAATGTGTTAGTCTCTAAGGTGCCACAAGTACTCCTGTTCTTTTTAATAAAAAGAGCAGTTGTTTTTGGCAAGCTTATGTTGCTCATATGGTTTACGGGAAGGGAATACAGAATGTAATTATCTGTTTCTGCCTGCATTTCAGTCTGGTTTAATAAACTGAAAGCCGTGAAGAAATGGGATGTTACATCACAAACTTGGCAATACTCCCTCAAGTGTACAATACATGTATTTAATGTGGGGAAAGAGCTGGAAACACCAGCAATTTTTATAGTAACAAATAGAACCAGTGCTTCCCAGGCTATGACCTCTCTGGCACCCTGAGAAGGACAGAGAAATCCCATCTGCCATCAGCGACCCCACTAGCCAAATAAGGAATGGCATTAACAGGCTCCAAGAGGACAGGGGAATCTTATCAAGTTCTCCTGGATTGCAACACAGAGAAACTGGAGGTCAAACGAGCAGAGCAAAAGCAGGAAGCACCTCATAATCCTCCGAGGGTAAGGAGGGAAAATAATTCCACAAGAGCAACAATAATGCTGGTAACCAAATATAATAAACTTAATAATTATCTGCATTCATATAATGCCTGGCATCCCAGAATCTCAAAGCACTTTACAAACATCAATGAATTAAGCCTCACTCTAGCCGGACAGACTAGAGAGAGCGCAGCTGAGCTGGGCCAGCAAAATCTCTCCCCCACTCTCTCCCCTCCTTAACACTTCCTTGCGAGGTTTGGGAGACGGAGACGGACACTGTGTCAGCGTTATATACCTATAACACTGACTACTTAGCACTTTTCATCTCAAAGTGTTCTACAGAGGTGTGTAACTATTATCTCCCAAACACACACACACACATTTATACAGCTGGAGACACCAACACACTGACCCTCCCCCCCTTGTGGGGTGGGGTTCCGCCTGGGCTCCCACTAAAGTCACAAATGGCCAGTGTGATTTTATAGCCCTGCACCCCAAAGATTTCAAGCCCCAGTCAGCTGATATGTGTCAGCCGCTGATGTTTTATTGCAGTGTGGACATACCCTTGGGCTAAGCAACTAGTCTAGGGTCTCACAGTCCCAGTCCCAGGGTGTATTCATCAGACCACACTTCTTCAATTTGTAACTAACAAATAGTTAGTCTTATACTCACAACCAAATGGCACTGACTGGGCAAGAACAGGGTGACCAGATAGCAAGTGTGAAAAATCAGGACACTTTTTTTTCGGGGAGGGGGTATAGTTGTCTATACAAGACAAAGTCCCTAATGTCGGGAAGTCTGGTCACCCTAGGCAATGACAAGATTAAAAAGTTTAACTCCAAGCACGTGCGCCTGCAGGCACACACACACACACAGAGAGAGAGTTTAAAGGACATAATTAGCTCAAGGGCAGCATCAGCTATTTCCTCCGTCCCCTTTCGGGGACCCTTTCGTGCCCCTGCAGGGGGATGGATTAATAGGCGCTTTCCTCCCCCTAACTCACCACGTGAGTGCTTTAAAGGGCAAACCTGGACTTTGTCAGAGCGAGAAGAGGGGGAGACACCCCTGCAAAGAGACGCAGCCCTGCCCTGCCCCCTTGCGCTCGCCAGTCCCAAACCTCGCAAGGAAGCGTTAAGGAGGGGAGAGAGTGGGGGAGAGATTTTGCTGGCCCAGCTCAGCTGCGCTCTCTCTGGACAAGACAGACACCCGGCCCGGCCCGGCCCTGGCACGAGCCCTCCCGCTCCCCCACCCCTCGCCGTACAAAAAGCCGCCCGACAAGTTTCTTGGAACTTTGCCTGCCCTGACGCAAACAATGGAGCAGGGCCCCATCCTCCTGGAGCAGCCAATAGGCAGCTGGGGGACCCGGTTGCCACCAATCAGAGGGAGCTGGACAGTTCCCCGGTCCTGACTGACCTTCAGCCGGCTGGTGTGGGGGGGGGATAAAAGAGCCCAGAGGCGGTAGCGGAGGTTTGGCCGCTGCAGCTGCCGCCCGCCGTCCCTCCCGCCTTAGAGCCAGGCAGACGCGGCGGGGACCCGGCGCGGCCAGAGCCAAGCGGGAGGGAGCGCGAGCCCCAAGGGGAGCTGGCCCCGGGAGCGGCCGCCGTTGCAGAGGGCTCCCGCGAAGCGCCGCCCCAGCTCATTCATTGAAGCCCCAGCAGCGCCTGGAAGCCGGGGCTCGGCAGCGGCCCGGCCCGGCGGCAGAGCGGGTGCAGAGAGAAGCCTCCCCGCCCGCGGGAGGGCGCCGCTGCCCTGCGAGGAGCCAGAGGTGAGCGCCGAGCCACGGCTCTCCTCCGGCTGCGGCTGCCTGGGCTCGCCCCGCCGCCCCCTGCGCGCCATGCCCCGCTACCGGTATCCCCTGCGGAGAGCGCCGGGCTCGGCCGGGGGGTGCCGGGGAGGAGGGAGCTGAGGCGAGTCCGGGGAGGCTGAAAGGAGAAGATGGAAACTCGGGGAGGGAACTGGAGGGACGGGGCAGGAGAAGGGGCTCGGCTGGGAGGCCGGGTGAGGGACAGGAGTGGAAAGAGGAGACTGCGGGACAGGGAAAGGCAGCTAGGGGAGGGGATCGGAGCTGGATGAGCGGGGGGAGATTTGGGGACAGGACACAGGGAGCCGGGTTACGGGGGGTGAGTGGGGGAGATTTGGAGATGGGGAACAGGGAGCCGGGTTACGGGGATGAGTGGGGGGAGATTTGCGGATAGGGCGCAGGGAGCTGGGTTACGGGGGATGATTTGGGGAACAGGGAGCTGGGTTATGGGGGTGAGTGGGATGAGATTTGGGGACAGGGAACAGGGAGCTGGGTTACGGGGCGTTAGTGTGGGGAGATTTGGGGACAGGGAAGAGGGAGCTGGGTTACAGGCGTTGAGTTAGGGAAACTGAGACTTTATAAAATTATAATTTATATTAGCCTGTGATGGGCTGGAATTTCTCAGTCATATTTATCAGCATATTGCATTTCTTGTTAAAGTGGATTTGTTTGCTTGTGATTCCAGCTCTAGATTTCCTATCTTGCCCTTGCTTTGTTTGTCTATAATTCAGACAAAGGCGAGGAGGGTTAGTTCATCTCTACCATTTTGTATATTATTGAAAATATGTGCCCTCCTGAGTCAAAAATGTACAACGCTAGAGCAACCCCAGCACAGTTCTTTTCCACTTAGTATCTTTCTCAGGGTGGCAAAACATAAGCCTTGTTTACAAGGAAAGGCACTGTCTTAGTCTCTTGGATGCTAAAGTGAATCATTAGACACATCCCCTACCAGCTTGAAGATTGCCTCAAGGCAGTTTAAACAGGACAGTGACTGTGAGGAGACCTCTGTGGCCTTGGGAAAGAACATTTCAGTTTGGACCAGATTGGTATTCCAGTTTGCTGAACTGATAAATCTGAATCAGCCCTGCCCTCAACATAAAAGTTAGAAATTAACTGTGATTAAAAGCACAACCAGAGTTGGAAAAGGGAAAAAAAAGAACAGGGTTTTGGTGGGGAGAGGTGTGTGTTACTGTGCTGCCCTCAGGTTCTCTGGGGAGGGGAGTGACTGACTGACTACCAATCATTAAATCACATTTTTGGTTTTTTTTGGGGGGGAGTGTTTCCATAGGTCTTGGACCTAATGAGGCATTTTGACAACAAAGTGGGAACAAGCCCCTCCTGAAACCCAAGCTCAGCGATGCCCTGGAACGTCAAATGGCTGAACAGCTACAGCAGCCACAATTCCCAGTCCCAAAAGCAATGTAAGAAATCCTCCTTCGCCTTTTACCAGGCAGTGAGGGACCTGCTGCCTGTGTGGCTTTTGGAGGACATAAGAACAATGGAGGCCTTTCACTGGGAGGAAGGCGGAAAGGTGAGCACCTATTCTCCCTCTGAGGCTCTTCTCTATGCCCTGGTGCACAACCACCAACCTTACGCTCAGTACCTACTGAATAAGTTTCTTCAGAGCGCCCTAGCCATACCCAGCCAAAACTTCAGCTGCTGCCAGTCATCAGCTCCTCACCTGGCCATGGCAGTTCGCTACAACCGCACCCACATCCTCTTCAGAATACTGAAAGCCATTAGAGGCTTTCCAGAGAGAGAGAGAGCCAACTACTTGGACCGCAGGGGGTGCAGTCGTGTGGAAGGCAGCAAAACTGCCTTGCATGTGGCCTGTGAACTGTTGAGACCCGAATGTTTGCTTCTATTGCTGGGTCATGGGGCATCCCCCTGCTTACGTGACTGCGCTGGGAATACCCCTCTGGACATCTTGCTCCAGCAGATTTCTCAGACCCCAACAGTTAACATGTGCACCAAGCTCCTCTTGCTGGACTCCCTTTTCCTCTTCATGCCTCAGGAACTCCAATTTTCAATGAAACAGCAACTGCTGGACAATCACCAGCCCTGGCAGGACCTTTTGGGAGAGAACAGATTCCAGTGGCTGGCAGGTTTAACTCCTACATCTCTGTTCATCACGGCTATGCGTGTCTTAATGAGGAGCATTTCACCTGAACAATTCCCAGAGGCACTGGAAAATCTGCCTTTGCCACAGTTTCTGAAGCCTTTAGGCTTGAAACTGAAGAGCTAGGGGATGTGCCCAGGAGCCTCCAGCTTGTGTGGTTTTGGTATAAAGAGCTGTTAATGCAGATGTGGGGCAATGCTCTTGTTTTAATTAGAACATGTTTTTAAAAGGATTGTATCTGGCACTTTACATACCTTTTTATTTAAAGATCATTGTGGTGAGTAATTTTCACACCACTTTTTATAAAAGTATTATATGATAACTTAAGATACATGGGTGTATATATTTGTAAATAGGTGTAAATAAACCAGTGGCAGATATGACGGAAAATGGAAATCTAGTAATTTAAAGTTCTGAAGTGACATATCCATGTGAGAGTGGTAGAGAGAAGCCCTTTGGTTCTGGCCTACCTTCCGCTTAAACATGGCACAATTCTGGAATAAAACAATTTATTTTTACAAGTATCCTGGTAGGAGTTGTCAGGGAAACATCACACACACACACACACAGAGAAAGGCACAGGTGAAAAATTCTTGATCTTGTACAAAAACCAAGATATTTTTAAAAGAATCTAAACTAAATAAGGAGGGCAAGGATATACATATTAACAAAAATGGCCATGTGTATGAAAACCAGATAGTTTTTCCATAATGTTCTGTGTTCCCTTTGCCCTTCAGTGAAATCAGAGGGGCCTAGTTGTCATCTCTCTTTTTGCTGTGGAGGGAATGGAAGGAGCAGAAAACATGCTCTCGTTGGCCAAGATTCGGTTAGAGGGAAGAAGGGGGTAATATATCATGGTTTCATCCTTCTCAATCCTGCAGAAGCACCTTCACGTGAACACTGTATGTTTGAGGCGCTATCATCTATGGGGAGTGGCTAGGAAAAGAAGGAGCAGAGCTGGAGCGAGCCATTCTCCTTACTATTGTCCTCCTGCAAACCCACAGGGATTTTCTTGTGCAAACTGATGTCTGCATTCTATCTTGTGGATTCTTCTTTGTTGTCATTCTCCATTGCCACCCCAAACATATGTTGGCATAGGTTGTTGAAAAGCCTATGGCATCCTTAGTTCCTGTGGGTATTTAGGGAGTAGCTTGGATGCACTGGACCTCCATCTGAATATCTTGACCCTCAGTGGATGACCAGAGATACATGGAATATTCCCAGAGATTCTCCAGACATCTCTGCACTGGGAGAGCTATGCCCTTGTCTGCTCTGCAAGGAGCAAACTTCGCCTTCCCCTACCAGTCATTGTAATCTTCATGGTTTCCACAGAGTTTTCCACCTACCTTTGGCTCTACAGTGGGAGGGCATTAGCTGAGTTGTAGGGGTTTTTTTTTGGCACCCAAGACTCTTGCCATGGAGTCAGTTATTACCTTAGAGATTTCAGCCTCCTAGCTCCCTACAGGGTGAGCACAGAGCAGAAGTGAAAAGCCCTTGTTTGAAACATAAATCCCTTTGATCATTAACAAGTTTGGTGAGAAAAACTATGAAAAACACAGAGCAAGCAACTGTAAATTGTTCACAGTGCAGCTGAATAGATTCTAGAGAGTTTCTCCAGTGTGGAACTCCCCTCTTTTAAAAACATACAGTTCTATTGGATATATGATAATCTAGGAAATACTAGAGGGTTGGTGTGCTTCAGAAATTTGAGATGCAACAGAGGAAAAAAATAGTTCATTTTATGCTGAGGAAATTGAAAATGCCTTCCAGAAAAAAAACAAGAGGGTGATTGCTCCAGCTAATTAACACAGGAAATGCAGATCCCTTGCTGGAAGGGGTGGCTTGAAATAACCAAAATATGCAGTCTTTGATCCCCCTGCTCCCATTACCTCAGGGATAACAAAATGCAGCCTTGTAGTAGAATTCACTGAACTGCTCAAAGCCAAGAATGCCTCTCTCACAGCAGTATAAATACCTATATTGCTGGATTCTTCATACGACTATATCTTCCCATTATTCCAGGAGCACTGCTGTATAAGTGCTCCTGGAATAATACTGCTGTATTTATTGCATAAATAAACTAGAAGATAAAGCAATCAGTTTCGCTCTCCACTCCATAAACACACAAAAAACTAGCCTTCTTAACACCATGGGCTAGGGAAATATAGGGTTTTGAAAGGATGCTCGGAAGTAAAGAACTGATTTTTTTTTTTTTAGCACATTTTCTATTCCACCCAAAGGTGTTTACTGATAAGACACAGCAACATTTGAGTGGTTTGTGCTGTCAGCAGAGCTGTACATGCAAATAACAGCTTCATTCTGCAGGGTTATTGTATTAATATATTTAAAAACTAGGCTATTTTATTCTCTTTCCTCTCACACCTGCTTTTCCTGCTCCCCCAGCCCTCTCAAGGTGCAGTTGCCACTTTCCAAAGCAATTACTCACTGCAATGCTAGCATGAAACTTTTACTCACCTCCATCAGCAAGAAGAGAGGGTGTATTATGCAGAACATTACACACTCCTATTGCTCCTTCTCTAGTGAAAACAAAAGGAAAGATTAACATGAATATATTGTATCAAGATCATTTCCCAGACTCTTGTAACCATGCCTTAGTGGGTAACAACTGAGAATACCAAATTCAGGACAAACCGCTGGGAAATAGGGCAGACACACCCCAAAACTGGTGGTTAATCTCCCATAAGATATACCAAACCAGAAACAAAAGTAAACTTCTGTTTCACCACACTGGCTAACAAGGAGTCAGACCAATAGTGGATTGGATCTGTTCTTGCAGCATAATTCCTGCATGTCTTGTGTGATCTTGCCATAAAGCTCTGGCAAATGTTTGGAACCCAATTAACATCAAGTCAATGTAGATATTAATGTTATCCATAGTGTCGGTACTTTGACATTTAGCCATGAAAGCAATATGGCGGTGTGCCTCAGTTTCCCTTCTCATACAGCATATTAGGTGTGTAACGTCTTTTCCCCTGTGTACAGTTTCAAGGCTGGTTACAGGCTCTAACTGTGAAACATCAGTATTACGAGGCCTTTTAACATAAAGGCTTCTAGCACATAGCGAGTTCTTATGTATCACTCCCAACATGTTCAAGAGTTTTTCCAAAAGATCATGCACATTGTACATTTTTACAGTGTTTGGTATCAGCAACACATTAGTCACAAAAGTTAACATTAGGATTAATATTAACATCAAATCTTTTACAAGTGTACATTTACAAGCATTTTTGTTATGCCATGCCTTTGGCTCAATACTCTTGGAGTTTTGGCACTTTAGGGTTAACCTGTGGCTTCCATTTGCAGGATTAAGTTTTTCCTTTCCTCCCTGTCCTGTAGGGTCAAATCCTGTGCTCTCTTGCTTAACAGAATTCATTGGCTGGTTAGGTGTGTCCTTTCAGCTAAGAGCTATGGGCAAGTCTTTCTCTCCTCCCCTCACCCCCAGTTAGGTATTTTGCATCAACACAGACACTAGCTTGTTTACTAGTTTTCAGATTCTTAACCATTACCAATTTCAAGGCTGGATTCTGTCTTAAAGAGATACCACCCATTTTCACTAGCATGTTAGACTTAAGATTCTTTTGTCCTTCCATTACCTCCCTCTGCTTCCACAGGGAATCAGATGTCAAGTCCACTAAGAGACAACAAGACATATCCAAAGTGTCTAGAGATGAGTTTGCCTGCCATCCCCCGTATTCTCGAGAGATCAACTGTACAACTGTCCTGTTCTGTAGATTGAGCTGCACAGTCTTCCCTCTGAACCTGAGACACAAACTGTTTACTTAAAGAGTCAACATGGAAACATTCATGTCCCAGCAACATTGCCTCCCCAAAACACTGGTCAAGCATAGGCACTTGGTCATCATAGAGCTGTTCAAATTCCCTGACAATTTTCATTCCATATGAAACCTCAAAGCTGGGTCAACTATCAGAGGGGTAGCCGTGTTAGTCTGAATCTGTAAAAAGCAACAGAGAGTCCTGTGGCACCTTTAAGACTAACAGAAGTATTGGAAGCATAAGCTTTCGTGGGTAAGAACCTCACTTCTTCAGATGCAAGTAATGGAAATTTCCAGAGGCAGGTATAAATCAGTATGGAGATAATGAGGTTAGTTCAATCAGGGAGAGTGAGGTGCTCTGCTAGCAGTTGAGGTGTGAACACCAAGGGAGGAGAAACTGCTTCTGTAGTTGGATAGCTATTCACAGTCTTTGTTTAATCCTGATTTGATGGTGTCAAATTTGCAAATGAACTGGAGCTCAGCAGTTTCTCTTTGGAGTCTGGTCCTGACTTTTTTTTTTTGCTGTAAGATGGCTACCTTTACATCTGCTGTTGTGTGGCCAGGGAGGTTGAAGTGTTCTCCTACAGGTTTTTGTATATTGCCATTCCTGATATCTGACTTGTGTCC